TTCTAATTAAATTGATTTTTTGCCTTGACAGATCTTACTATTGGATGCCATTCTTTAGATATGTCGAGACAAAAAATCAATTTAATTAGAAATAATATGAAAATTTTAGACTTGAAAAAATGTGCGGGCTCGTGCGGGCTTGTCAATCTACCTTGCGGGCTCTTGCGGGCTCTTTCACCTGCGAGCATGATGCGTTGAGCCCGCAACAGCCTGCCCTTTTGGAGGCACTGTTAGGTACCTCCAGGAGGTACTTCCTCGGACTACTTGCCCTGGTTATGGTATTCGAAGTCGTCGGCCGCGGCGGTGTCGGGCGCCACGGACACGCACTGCTTCTCGTCGTCGCCGTAGGGGCAGTCGCGCCGGCCGTCGCACAGCCTGATGGTCTCTACGCACACTCGCGAGCCGGAGCAAACGTAGCGCCCGGGCTCGCACCAGTCTGCAACAACGGCGACGCGACATCCGAGGTGAGCGCCTGCCAGATCCAGGGTAGGCAACCGAAACACAGTCGTGCGTCGCGAGCAGTTTTTTGCCTAACGCCCAGGCGCTCACTACACCGGGAGCCAGGGCTGTGGGCTGGAACCGAGCACGCTGTTGCGCCCAGAGCTAGTGGATGCACTAAGCGCGAGTAGCTCTGTTTGTGTTTCAGTATGTTTGTCTGTCCGCCTGTCTTTCCCTCTCCCTCTCACACTGGCTGGAGCGCCCGCGGTTGCGACGGGTAGGCCGCCTGCCGCTCAGCTGAGTCCGCAGCATTGCGATATTGCCTACCCAACCGGGCGCCTCGCCTCGGCCTCCGCCTCATCGCCAAGACTGGAAACATCTGCTCTTAAGAACTCGTTCTCCGCTTCTCCTCGGGACTCACCGCAGTTGCTCTCGTCACTGTAGTCCCAGCAGTCCACCACGCCGTCGCACAGCTTGCGGTGCATGAACTTGGCGCGGAGGTAGTCGGCGCAGGAGCAGGCGCGCTCGTCCGCGCCGTCCGGACAGTCCAGCAGCTGGTTGCAGCGGGACACCGCGGCCACGCACGAGCCGTCACCGCACCGCACGCCGCACTCTGAGGTGGAGGACGAGGAGCATGAGCACGCCGCGGCCTTCGGCACACACGCAAAAAAGCCAGTCCGCTAAAATAGCAAACTTCAGGTCCTTGCGTTCTGCTGTTTCAGCAAACATTTTGCTAAAACAGCAAAATCTTTTGCTAAATCAGCGAAAACAAAAATGTGTTTGCTGCAACAGCAAAACGCAAGGACCTGAAGTTTGCTATTTTAGCAAACAGGCTTTTTTGCGTGCATCCGACGGGCTCATCGTTTAAGCGACATCATTTTGGCTGATTACTTGTTATGACTTACCTGTCGTGTTGGCGTCGTCACCGAGGACCTCGTCGAGGAGCTCCGCGAGGCCGCCGTACGGCGACGTGGACGAGGTGGTGGACGTGGTGGTGGTCGAGGCCGTGGCGTTGGGCGCCTTGTGCAGCACCTTGTGCGGGAGCGTCAGGTCCACCGCGTTGGCGGCCAGCTTGGTGGAGGACGAGGACACCGACTTGGCGGGGAGCCCGACGGCGGCGCGGATGGCGGCCACGAGCTGTGCCGTGCGGTTGCGCTGCGCCTCGGTCCTCTCCACAGGGGAGGGCCCCGCGGCGGAGGGGGTGGGGCGCACGGCGGAGGGGGAGGGGGCGATAGAGGGTGCGGCTGTCGTCGTGGTGGCGGTGGAGGGTCTGGGAGGGGTGCCCTTGGGTGGGCTGGCGGTCGGCTTCGTCGGCCTGGAGGGCGGCCTTCCCGAGGTTGCCGCGGGTTTAACGGAGGATGTCTTCACGGGAGTTTTGGTGGCGACGACCGCGTCTTTGGTTTGAGAGATCGCGGGCCTCGTGGAATTGGAAGGGGGTCGCTTTATGGAACTGGGGGAGGGTGTCGTCAGCGAGGTGGTCGGTCTGGTCTGTTTCGTCGGAGAGGAGGCGGGTCTGGCCGGGGCAGGCCTTGACGCGGCGGCCGTCATGTTGGCGGCCAGTTTCAGTGCTGGTTTGGTGGCAGTCGGCGCGGGTCGGGTCGAGTTACCGGGAGGCTTCAACTGAGGCTTCACCTGAGGCTTCACCTGAGGCTTCACCAGAGGTTTCACCTGAGGTTTCACCAGAGGCTTCACGGTGGAGAGCGGAACGTTCGCTGCAGAGGTTCTCGTCGAGTTGAGCGCGGGCTTGTTCGAAGGCGTCGACGTGCCAGTAGCGGGTCTTGGTGGCTTGGTCCCGTTTGAAGTCAATCTGGTGGAGTTGGTGTTAGTTTTGACGGTGAGTACTGGCTTGCTGGGTGCGGTCGGCTTGGTGAAAGCAGTCTTCACGTCAGTCGTGGCGTTGGTGGAGGCGGTCGGCTTGTCGCCGGTCAGCTTGTCGCCCGCACTCCAAGCCGTCGTTCCTCTTGGGGGTGAAGATGTGGTCGCCGCGCTCGCGGTCTTTGGCGGGGAGGCGGACGACACAGCGGTGGACTTGGGTGTGACTACCGCCTTCTGATCGCGCACCTCGTCCCCGTGCCCCGCCGGCCCCGCCCCCAGGGGCGCACCGCCCCCGTCATCCCCGCCAGCCCCGCCCCCCGGCAGCTGCAAGCAAGTACGTCATCCATTGTACCAACTGGCAAGGTGCCGTCGTATCGAAAAAGATGGGGTGGGGACAGGAATCTACTGCTCTTTCAATGGCCCACAAAGCACTGCTCGAATAAACTGTACACAAATTTACACCCCGCTAAGCCAGCGGACTATCGATTTATAAATGTACAAAAATAAATAAGAATTGACTAAGTGGTAATGACTTGGGGCTGGTGATGGCTATGGGCCCGCTGGGCGTCACTAATTAACTACGGCAGGGCCTAGGCACTTACACTGCCGGGGTCTTGGCTCGCGGGGGATGACGTCCTGGGGGCCTCATCGAGGGCTGTCCTTGTCGTTCTGCGAGATCGATTCACGCTCTCTAGACCGTCAGCCAGTCCGTCGTGCACGTCAGCGTACGGTAAGGTCAGGTCCACCTCTGAGAGCGCGGGCTTAGGATAAGCCCCCTCCACTTCTTGCACGGGGGCCATCCTGGCCTGCCGAGTGGTGCTGGGGCTAGGCGCCGCCGTGCTCTTGGTAGCCAAATCTGTTGCTGGAGACGGCCCCGGGGCGGAGGTGGGGTTGGCAGTGGCCTTGGCCGCCACACCCTCCACCCGCACCGGCTCCACGTCGTCCTTCTTGGCGGGGAGGGTCACTACCCTCTCCATGGCGACGTGGTCGGGGCGCGGCGCGGCTGTGGCTGGCGGCCGCACGACCTGTGCGACGGCGCCGGCCCTCCGGCCGCCCTGGCCACCCTGGCCGACGTGCACGTTGGTGCGCACCACGGTCTCCTTGAGGCGACTGCTCGTCTGCTGCGGCCGCGGCACTCGCTGCGCCTGCTGCTGCGCGGGCTGCTTCTGCTGCGCGCGCTTGAGGCCCGCGGCCCCCGCGGCCGGCCGCGCCTGCTGCGCCTGCTGCGCGTGCAGCCGGGTCTGCGTGGACGTCTTGTTGCCCTTCGGCACACCCTTGGGCACCCCGCGGTGCGGTGGCGTGCGGCTGGCGGCGGTCGGCGCGGACTGCTTCTGCTTGACGGCCTCCTTGACGACCGCGCGCTCGCTGGTCGTGGGCGGCGTGGCCTCCGTCGTCACCCTCTCGATGGTGGCCACGTTGACGCGCTGAGTTTGTCCAGGACCCTCCGGCGGGATGATGAAGTGCGTTATCCTGTCCACGTGCGCCGCGGCGGCCAGGGCGGGCCGGCTGCCGTTGCTGGCGGTGCCGTTGGCGTAATGGCTCTGCCTCGACTCGAGGACCAGCTTGATGCTGGAAAGGATCTTTGCGCTGTTCTCGTCCTGCTTTCGGGAGGCGTTAGCGGCGAGCGGGGGAGGTGGCGGGGGAGGCACCTCGCTGAGGGTGGGGGCCGTCTCCATTACCGGTGGTGGTGGCGGCGGCTGGCTGGATAGGGGCGGCGGCGGCGGTGGTGGTGGTGTTGGTGACGGTCCGGGGGTGTTCGTCGACGGCGCCAAGGTAGGCGCGATGGGGGCCTGCGGCTGCTGTGAGTTGGGGCGGAGCTGCGGTTTCCGACGGAGTGGCCTCCTCAGCCCTGAGTTGGACCTCACGGGCAGCAGGGTCACGATCGTCACCGACTCCTCCGACGATTGTGGCGCGGGCTGCGCCGTCGTTGTCGTCGTAGACGTTGTTGTGCTTGACGGTAACTGAGGGGGCGCCGGCGCCGGCGACATCGTGGACAGAGGCTCGACGCTCGGATCCGCGGTCTTCCTGATGGACAGGAGGTTGGGGAACTGCTGCAGCAGGGGGAAGTCGGGCAGGGCGAACAGCCCCGGCATGCGGATGTTGCTGTTCCGCATCTCCGCCTTGCCCACCTCCAGCCTGGCCGTCGACGTGTCGGCCGCGGCTGGAGGCGCCGGCGTGGTGCTGGTTGTCGTGGAAGTCGTAGAAGTCGTGGAGGTCGTAGAGGTCGTGGAGGTGGACGTAGTGGAGGACGAGGTCGTGAAGATCGAACCACGGTTCTCGTCCTTGATTACGATGGAACCGCTGCCCGTCTGCAGGATGCTGGTCTCGGGATCGTCCTCGTCCTCCTCGCCGGACACGATGAGGGAGATCTTGGAGATGGTGTCCCCCGGGCGCTGCGGCCCCGGGCTGGGCGCGCTCTGCACGTGGGTCGACACGTGGCTGGTCACGGCGGCCACCACTGGCACGCCGGTGTCCCCAGCGTACGAGCTGACGGGCGTCCGGGAGCCGTCGCGCTCCAGGAGCAGGTCCTGGCGGAACGCCTCGGACGGGCTGAGGCTCAGGCGGTCCAGGAAGGAGGCCGGCGGTGGCATTGCGGCCGTGTCCGAGGCCGGTGCGTCCGCCAGGGTGTCGGCCAGGGTGTCCTCCAGGATCACCGGTAGGGAGCCGCCCCCAGGGGTCACGTTCACGGAGCCCTCGAGCGCCGACGACGGGATGGCCACCACCTCGGCCACGCCGACGGCCGCCCCGACATCCTCCTCGATGTCCTCGCCGCCGGTCGGCAGCAGAATGGGCACCGCGGCCGCTGCGAGGAACGTATGTCAATCGTGAGTATATTTTAATAACTCTACAGCGAAACATGCTGATGTGCGAGAAAAATTGGGATTGGTATACTACTTCGTAACGCTGTTTCATAGGGAGGGCATTGTTATGGACCTCGAAACGGAAGTAGTTGAGTTGGGGGTGGAGGGGGAAACGGACGTGTCTTTGCCATATCGCCGATATATTTTAGTACTTCTGAATAACTTACGTACCTTCGTTTCGAGATTCAAAGAAATGGCGCCTAGATACAAGTCTGAATTTGATATTAGTTTCAGTAATCTCATGTAAGTTCATCCGGTTACTGAGAAACAACTTTAAATCTTTCTAGGGCGCGCGACAGGAAGCCATGGTTAGGCAATTATTATCTATAATAAACATGGGGGGGGGGCTGGATAAGCCCAAGGCTTGGCATGCTGCCTAATGGGTAGGAGTAGCAGCCCAATTTTGACTACATACTACACGAACACTGGCGGCACTATACACCACGCACAACTGAGCGGCTGGCTACCTGTGGCAAGGTGGTACTGCTGGTGCGTGGGCCGAACAGGCCTCCAGGAGGACAGGGAGTCGTCGTCGACATCGTCCTCGGGGCTGCTGGGTGCCGCGAGCGGGGGCGACACCGGCTGCGGTCGGCGAGACGCGGCGCCGCCATACGGCGCGTTCCAGGGGTCCACGACGACGTCCTCCTTGGCGATGGGCTCCACCACGCCGGTCGGATGCGGCGGCGCTACGGTCTGCGGCGGCGTCCTGAGCCGCGACGTTGTTCGTCGCACCGGCTCCGTCGAGGTGGTGGGTGGGAAGGTGGTGGGGTCCTCTATAGCCTCCACGTGTACGCCAACGCGGTTCCGACTCGCGACTTCAGTAACCGGCTGGCCGATGCCGGTGAACGTGAGAGTCACGTCCTCCCAGGACGACGTCGGCACGGGTGCAGCTGTCGTGGAGGTCGTCGACGTGGTGGTCGTCGTCGTCGTCGTCGTGGTTGTCGTGGGGCGGCCGGGCCGCTGCTGCCCCCTGTGCGAGGTGGACAGCACGAGCGGACGGGTGGTCACGGTGGACAGGGTGGCCGTCGACGGGCTGGGCGGCGGCGAAGGCCGCGCGGGCGACGTCTGCAGGCCCTGCTGTGTCGCCTCGGTCACATTCCTGCGCTCGACGTCCACCTCCTCGTCGTGGTCCTCGTGGCCTGCGCACACCAAGATCCCGTCGCTGTCAACAAGCGCGAACCTTCGCACTGCGGCGTTGCCGCCACGCCAGCTGCCGCATACTCACGCTTGATGACGATCTGCTCGGCGTCCATCTGCATGTCGGTGAAGGCGATGGGCTTGAGGGCAGTGGCCTCCTGCACCAGGATGCCGCGCGCCACTTCCTCCACCTCGATCCTGCGGCGGAAGGCGAGAAGATTCAGGATTCGATTCAGGATCATCGGGACTTTTGAGAATGTAACAATTGGCTGGACCTCATGCCCCCCCCCCCCTTACGCGGTGTTTTATGGAAGGCGAGGCCCCTTCACGTCACGGTGCGCGGCCAATTCGAGGCAATTGTCGCCCCTCGCCTGCCCAGCCCAGTCGGTCGGGCCGACGCCCTCGCGGTCGAAATTTTAGACGCAAGATTTTGAACGGCAGGCTGTAAAATGGTCGTTGTAACGCGTCACGGTTACTTGAATGGGCCCGAACCAAGCTGAAGTTTGTCTTTTCGTACAAGAAGTGTCCGGTGTCCGGTCGAGACAATCAACTCTTGGTTGTTCGTATCGGATTCTCGATTCAATCTATCAAATTTACGCTATCAAACAGAGTTGATCCGCACAACAACAGGCAGTGTGTCTTACGTCGTGGTCCTCCTCCGGTCGAGCTGCAGCCGGAAGAAGACGACCAGGGTGGAGCTGCGGAGGCTGAAGCCTCGCACCGAGACGGTCCTCAGCGCCGGGCCCAGCTCGCTGCGCTTGTACACCCGCTCCAGCTGCAGAGCAGGGGCGATGACGGAAAAGAAAAGACACAACAAAAAAGTTAGTAAAACCATCACAAGACATTGATACAAAATTGGGAAAAAACTACATCCAGCAAAAATGATGTAGGCATAGGCAACAGTGTTTTTGACTTTAACAGTGTGCTCACGCCATGCAGTCCTGTGCAGCCTGTGCCGCACCGGCCGCACCGCGCTCCACAGCAGCGACGGCACGGCCCACACCAGCATTCCATTTACTCACTTTTCTTTTCAGCCACTTTGCGCACTTTTTAAAGCCCCCCCCCTTCTTCCCTCCTCGGACCGCCACGCCGCCACCTCTGCCACCGTCTCAGCTGCGCATAATGGGATAAACTACTATATTTCCGCGGCGCGACGCCGTCCGGCGCGGCGGCTCAGCTCACGGCCTCCAGCGCCTGTCTGCCCGTCAAGCCCCCCCTCCCCCCCCCCTGTCGCCTCGCACAAAGTGATGGGAATGTTGGGGTTGCCGGCCGGTCGCTCTCTATCTACGGACATCTCTCCGGCCAGAATGGAGGAGAGAGGAATTAGCTTTTTCACGTAAAGCTATGGGGCTGCTGCCGCTGTTCTGCTGCCGGGCTAGACACGCCTGGAGACCCCTAGACCGCTGCCGCTGCTCGGCCCGCG